CTCTCTCCCTATTCTGGTAAGGTTTTTAATTAGAGTTTCATTTTTGTTGGGGGGGGGATATTACTCCCTTCCCTATCGCTGGTGGGGTGTGTGTGTCGTAGCTTGTTTAAAAGTTCATGCGCTTGATGCAAATTCACTCATGTTTCTTTCGGTATTGTTAAATTGCTGAGATACCTTGCATTCTCGCTAAAACTCCTGAACGCTTGTCTGGTGTGCGCCTCTAGGTACCATGATGGCACTGCGGCAGTAGGACCTTCAGGGCAAAGTGTGCCTCAATCCCCTGGCATCATACCTCGGGAGCGGTACTACTCGAGCCCCATGGCTGGGGGGCCCTCTGCGGGGGCCCCAGGGGGAACCGGCACAGCCGGATCCCCTCCTAGTCGCCACGGGACAGGCCGCACCATACAGAGCTTGCCAGTGCACGCCTGCTAGGCGAGGAGCCAAAACCGGAAGTCGGTGTCCAACCACTATTAATGGGCATTTTCCCACACCATATAATTCTTGCTTTGAAGAATAATGGCTTTCTTGTCATTTGGAGCAAGAATACAAGACATGTACCAATGGAGACAAAACTATTGATGGTTACCCACTTGTTGTGATGGGGAACTCTCATGATATAGGGAGAGAAGACTACGAGCCTTACTTCCAACAGCATATTCCACAGATTGGTTTTTTCCTTCTTTTAGAGCAGTATAATATGCAAGTGTTTCTGAAAATGCTGTGCTGAGCACAAAGACAAACTGGCTGGTGAAGCAAGCCGTGAAAAAGATATAATGGGAAGCACTGAAGACAATTATTTGACTCTTCCGTCACCAGCTTTACTTGCTCAATTTAATGCTTGATTTAAATGATTACAAGCAGTTGTTTAAAAGATGCTTTTTCGTCCCTTATTTTGCTTTATTCCTGATGTGCAAAACACACACAGGCACGCAGCAGGATTCTAAATTGTCTGGGCTGTTAAAAAGAATAACAGAACAATCATTGACTGGGAGGCAAATCTGATGAGCCAAAACAGTTTTGCTTCAAAATAAGGAGACATGAGAGATTCATTACCTGTAGATAGCAAAGACAACCCAGTCCTTTGGTTGTGAAACACACTTTTCTTTTTGGAAAGTGTACATTTTAATAAATTAAACATTTTGCTGCCAAAAGGCATCCTTTACCTTTTCTTAAAGAGAGAGAGAGAGATTCCAGCATAATGGAAGACTTAGTTCTTGCAGGCAGATGTGGTGGTTCGTCTGTTTCTGGGCTGTACCCCTTTAGACTGCAGATAGGAGTACAAAACAGAGTTTCCGCACATAGATAAACAGATGATCAGGGAGAAGCCTAGACTAGAACCATGCCCTCTGATGTGCTACTTTCTGTGTCTGGGACACAGAAAATGAAATGGCCGGTATTGTAATGCTCTTTTTCTGTTATGTAACCCCACTTGCAATATAATGTACATTTCTAGTCTCTTCATCTAAAAAAAATCCTCCCAGATATTATAAAAGTGGAAAAGATGCAGACTAGGGCAACCAAAATCATTGTGGTGGAGCACCTGTCCCACAGGGAAAGGTATAGTCAAGAGAAAAGGTTGCGATCACATCCACTGCATGTAAGAAGCAGGTCTCCATTTTTGAAACCACAAAGCTACAAATCTGATCAGTTTGTCAGCCATCAGGTTCTGCTAGTCCTGTGACTTCTCATCTTTTGCCCCTCCAAAAGATGAGAATTTTGCTGGCCCAAATTCTTTTTGCAACCATGGATACTGGAAGTGAAACAAATTGAATGGGAGGGGGGAAATGCATGAAAATTCAAATTGCATGACTCTCAGCACAGAACTTTCCTTTTTATGTGGGCTTCGGAATAAGATTTGCACTGATTGTATGGAACTCTCTTTATTGCCTGTGGTGGGATCATAGCTGCTCAGGCACTTGATCATGCCCCTGTGACCCAGACTAGCTTGTCCAAGGAGCACCTTCCATTCTGCTCTTGAGGAGGAGGAAAGAATTGGATGGACCCCTTCCCTGTTAATTGCTGGACATTGGCAAGGGGCAGGGTGTAGACAGTTTAGGATGGAAGTTGGTTCTCACAGTATTCTGTCTGGCTATAATCAGCAACCTGAGATCCCGGTGAGCATTCTGAGTTTTGGCCGTCAAAAAAGCTTGGTGCACCAGCAAAACTGGAGCAAACCAGCCCCAGAGGAAGATACAGAGAGGCAAGGGGGTAGCTGGAACTTCACAGTGTCCTGGAAGATTCTGACAGATTCTGACTAGCCAGAAGGAACAAGGACTCGAGGAAAGAACATCAAGAGATAGAAGTCAATTGGGCTGCCATCCAAGCCAGGTTCTGAAACCAACCTCTAGTGCCAAGCCCAGCTGCCATTTTGAGCCTGCCACAGAGCCAGGGCCATCTTAAACCTTACAAGGTCCTAAGCAGTGATGAATAATCAAATCATGTCCCTGTTGAAACAGTGTAGGAGGCACACCTTGAGTCTGGAGTCAAAGGCATCCAGGACATTTGGCCAGGAAACTTCAGATACTATTCTGCTTGGTTCAGCATACTCAATGCGTGACTCAGAAGATCATGGCTTGGTTTGCTGCCATTGATAAGCAAGACTGAATGGGAGTGCAAATCATAGTTGAGTTTGTGTGGCTTTAAACCTCAAATATTGATCTAAGGTTTGGAGGGGTAGGTTTCTTGTTGACAGCTTGTTGAGCTGTGAAGACATTAGCAGTGTCCCAGTGTAACATTCCTTGTGTGGAGGGTGCTGGAACAGAAGTGGCATTGAGGTCAACTGTGCGTCTTGCTCGTACTCTCTCACAGCATTTCAAAGATGAAAATAGGGATATGCCAGTAACTCTGCAGTTCCCATTACAAAGAGCACTTCCTTGAGCCACTGACCCACCAAATGTTGCATGTTTGTGAAACCTTGAAATAGCCAGTTTTTCACTCATTTCCTGATTAAGGTGTCTTACAGTACAATTCTTTGCAGATTTACGCCTGTGAGCTCAGACTGAAATAACCCTGCATAGGATTGTGCTGTTGCTTTTGCAGTTTTTTATGCTCCTTATGTTGGCCAGTGTGTGTGTGTGGTCACTATGTTTTATGATTAGTTTTAAATTAATTATGATTGTAAACACATGTGCACCCTTTGAAGCCTTAGGTCAAAAAAGTAGCATAGTTTTTTAAAAGAAATAAATAGGCCAATTGCTGTGGCTTCCCATCAAAAGGATCACAGGGATTATAGTTTTCGGAGGTTGCTGAGGATTCAGGTTAGTTTTATGAGGTTGCTGCAGATTTCATTGGAAATCCAAAGTCTTTCTCTGTAGACCTACAGTTTCCTGGGTTCCCTGAAGAAAGAGAATGACTGTTAAATTGATTTCAGGTAGTAGTATAGTTAAGACTTACAGTTATGTTCTAATGTATATGTTAACCATTTCAGTAGCTAAACCTAGTTAACTCCCCCAAAGTCTGGGATCTTGCTGAGTGACTTATATTTAACTTTTGTGAGTCCCCATCCCTTTCCCTATAATATAATATAATAAAAATGTTTAACATATAATTTAAAAAACTCATAAATAAGCAAAATGCATACCCTGAAGCTCTTTTTGGTCAGCTCCTGGACTCCAGTCGTGCTGCTCTGCTGCAGACCACCACGGCTGCCCTCTGAAACAGCCTTTACTTGGCCAAGCATCTGAGGATTGCCGTGCACTTTTTTCACAATTAAAACTGGAAGTGCATTTCACTATTGTTCCTAAATATTTGCTTTTGGAGTATGTTAAGAGTGAGAATTATCTGCTTCAAAGACAAATTAATCTGCCTCATGTTTCTGCATGAGTCACTGTTCCAAGTGTTCTTGCTGATTGGAATCATGTAGAGGTGCAGTGGACAGCCTCATGAAGACCAGTAACTCTGCTGCATTTCTGCATCAGTAGAAACAGAATGATCCAAGCATATCTGACACAGAGTTTCCGCAGCTTAACCCCAGGCAATGGGGCCAGATCGGAGATAGTCACACAGCCAACTCTGAGTGGTTGGTTTGGGCTCCCAGAAGCCTTTGGCTGATCATTTGTCATGTCATGACACTCTAGCTGTTATTTTGCAGCACCCCATAGTGCTTTGGTAATCAGGAGGATAATTTACTGGTTCTACTCACTAACTGTTGCATTTCTTCTAGCATATTTTTATGTAGAGAGCAAGTATGGAAATGTTTTCAGTTTTTAAGAAAAAAGCAAGAAAAACTCAGACTATTGTTTTGTACTAATTGGCTTTGATAGGCATGCAGGAGCCTTGTCCTTGAAATCTAGGGATAGGATGCGGTCTGTTTCTCAGGAAAGGGGTGAAATGCTTCCCCCCCCCGCCCCGGAAATAATTTTTCTTCTACCAAAGTGAACTCTGTAGACTTGTTTGCAACTTGCACCAAAACCTTTTTCTTCCTTGAGAGCAAAGAACGCCTCCTCCCTCTTGGAGCATTGTGTGTGTTAGACCTGTGCAATGTGTTGAGAAGGCAGCTGTCTTCTGAGGCACACAGCTCTTATGGTGGTTTGACAAGTGGAAGACAGATTAGCTATCAGCACTCTCTATTATTCACATTTATGGAGATATATTTTGGCTTTTGAGATGGCCCTTAATTATTTTTTTAAAATCTCTCTTGTATATCTCTTGTCCTAATAGTTGACACTTTCAATGTTGTTTTATGAATGGTCTAGAATATCAGTTGAATTGGGGGATCATCATGACCTGGCTGGCAGTGGATTTGGAGAGAGGAGAGTCTTCAAGCAAGCGAGCAGAATATAAGAGCAGCCCACTTGGATCAAACCAGTGGCCATCTAGTCCAGCATCCTGTTTTCCACACTGGCCTGAGAAGATGCCTCAGAAGATTGCAAACAGGGGTGTACAACTCTGTTGCCTCCCCTCAGCAGTTGGTATTCAGAGGTTTACTGCATCTGGACTTGAAAGTTACCTTTAGTCACCATGTCTAATAGCCAGTGATGGACCTCTCCTCCGTGAATTGGCCTAATCCCCTTCTAAATCCATCAAAGCTAATGGGTGTTACCATATCCTGTGACAGCATGTTAATTAATCCTCTGCACAATTACTCCAGCATAAGCCCATTTACTTCAGTGAGTCTTAGACGGGAGTAACTGTATAGGCTTGAACTGTAACTGTTGTATGAAAAAGTATTACTTTGATCTGTCCTGAATATGCCACATATCAACTTCATTTGGTGTGAAATTCCAGTATTATGGGAGGAGAAAAAGGTTTCTTCATGTCACGCATAATTGTATAAACTGTTACCATATTCTTTGTTAGTCATCTCCCCCCCCCCCCCCCCCCCCAATCTATAGAGCCTACTCTCTCTCCTTTTAGGGAAGGATCTTCAACTCTTTGGTTTTCATGGTTGCCTTTTACTGCACTTGTTCCAATTCTACAGTATCCTTTTTGAGATGTGGTGATCAGAACTCTGTGTGGCCTTCTGAATGTGACTGTACCGCAGGTCTTGTGAAAATGGCTAAACATTTCATCCATGCCAAGGAGTCAACATTTCTTGACCCCAAGGTCTCTTTCCTGATTATTCATCTCCTGTCAGTGCGTATGTGGTTTGGGTCCCTGCCCCATGAATATCACATTGAAGAGAAATAGAGGGAAGAAGAGAGAAAACAAAAAACAAAAAAAAGAAGATGGATCTGGATCAATGGAATAAAACAAGTGGTCAAAGATTGGTAATGTAATTAGGACCTGTGTCTGGAGAGATGAAATGCTATGGTTCTGTGGTCTTACTGCCTATAGAAGAAGACATTAGTTACCAGGGTTGTTTTCATGTTTGTTTATCCACTGTGAGCTGGTATGTCTAGTGTCTTGACCTGCTTTGTTCTTCCTTGACACTTCCTGACCCCCTCCCATCTCACGAATATCCAAATGTCCCCTTTTTTACCACAGAATTTTTTAGTGTGGCAGTCGGCATAGCTAGGTCGGTAGTATATGTAGAAGAGAGCTGTGTAGTCCCAGCCCCATTAATCAACAAGAATGGGATTTATAGTGCTGAGTAGATAAATCTCCTTAGTTTATTGCCTTTTCATCCTAGCAGCTCTTACTTTTAGAGAAGGAAGGCAGATGATGCTGGAGAATCAAAAGCCAGTGTTTGAGTGATAGAGCAAATTGGTGTTTCAAGAACAAGATAAGGTGTTCTTTTTGTTGGCCACTAAAAGGGCATGGCTTGCATCAAATGTGGCCTCTTGTGGTTCTGGAACTGGAAAGTGTGGCTGGTGTCTTGAACCTGCTTTGTTCTTCCTTGACAAGACTGGCTGTCCATTCATTGGACTGAATTGTTTACATTGGTGTACCTTTAGTACTTTTTCTCAAAAAAACCATGGGCACAGAGGTTGCATCATTGTCAGCAAGCTGCCATTCTGTCCATGGGCACAGAGGTTGCATCATTCTGATATGAGCAAGCAAGGAAATGAGCTGAAGTGGATGGTTTTCAGATGGTGTTCAGGGAGTTTGGGGGTTGCCTGGAACCTTATCCAGTTCCTTGGTGAGAGAAGCAAGCTACTGTGGTGTAGAGGGCTGGATTTGGACCAGGAAGACCTGCGTTGAAGTCCCCACTCTGCCATGAAACTCTGTATGTGACATTGGGTGGGTTATGCTCTCAGCTTAAGGGTTTTTCTGAGGATTAAAATGAACAAGAATCATGTACATCACTCTGAGTGCCTTGAGGAAGGGTAGAATAAAAATGTACTAGATAGGTCTCTTCCTCCACCAGTGTGCCTCCAGATGGGGGATATAGGTACCTTAGAAAATTGGAAGCGTAGAGTAGAGAGATGTTCCCTTCTCAAACCAGAAGGCCCTTCTACCTGCAAGAACGAAGATTTCTAGAGTCAAGACACAGTTAGTTTGTTGACTGGGCCATGTGGTGCATCTTGAGTAGCCTCTGCAACTCTGAAAGTCAAGGCCAGTATTGTGTAGAATCGTGAGTTCAGATGTCAGAGTGTCCATGCAATGGAGGTCCTGGACTTGAGTGAAGTTTGGTGTTCTAGTTTCTTTCAGAAGAGGCAAACTTTCATGCTAGTAGCTGTAGTTTATTTGATTTTACTAATTATTTGTAGGTTTGCTAGTTGTAAGATACTGCAAGAGTCCATTTGCAGACTAGGCATGCAGGATATTTTAAATGAATAAATTGATCCAGCCCAAGATCAATATTTTGTGGTCTAAGAATGAAATCTCTCTCTCCAGTTTCACTTTAGAAGAAAAACATCTCTGCTATCAGGAGTGCGGTCTAAATATTTAGAAATTCTAGAAGGATACACACACTAGAATTCCCCCGCTTTATCTATAGATCATATTTATTTTTATTTATTTTATTTCACTTATACCCCGCCCTCCCCACAAGCGGACTCAGGGCGGCTTACATAGGCACAGCTGTGCAATAAAATACAACAGGATTAAAACAAGTAAGGCACCAAGTGCAATAAAAATTGGATAAGTTAAAACAATTAAAACAAAAACTCGCATCTTGCAGGATACATTAGCAACTAAAATACTCACTCCCTATTGTATATTGCGGCAGGATCAAAGAGGGGGGATGCCATGGGCCAAGATGTTCCAGGTGGCCAGTCGGCCCAACCCGGCGGTCCTGCTCTGCAGTTTCTCGGTGGTGGTGGCGGCAGCGGCTCCTACTCAAAAGCCTGGCGGAAGAGCTCCATCTTGCAGGCCCTGCGGAACTGCAAGAGGTCCCATAGGGCCCTGATCTCCTCCGGGAGCTCATTCCACCAGGTAGGAGCCGCCACCAAGAAGGACCTGGCCCTTGTGGCAGCAAGCCTGGCCTCTTTAGGACCCGGGGTCACTAGGCGGTGTTGTGACCCCGACCGAAGTGCTCTTTGGGGCCTGTATGGGGAAAGGTGGTCCCTCAGGTATGCCGTACCCTGGCCATATAGGGCTTTAAAGTTAAGCACCAGCACTTTGAAGCTAATCCGGAACGCTATAGGCAGCCAGTGCAGCACTTTCAGCACAGATTGGATGTGATCGCATTTAGGGACACCCACCAACAACCTGGCCGCCGCATTCTGCACCAGCTGCAGCCTCTGAATTTGCGACAAAGGCAGCCCCATGTAGAGAGCGTTGCAGTAGTCTAGCCTCAAGGTGACCGTTCCATGGATCACTGTGGCCAGATCGCCGCAGCTAAGGAAGGGGACCAACTGCCGCACCAGCCGTAGATTATAAAAGGCTGCTTTGGCAGTGACTGCCACCTGGGCCTCCATCGTTAAGGTGGGGTCCTGGAGCACTCCCAAACTCCTAACCCCCAAAGTTGGCACCAAAGGTGCCCCATCAAAGGCCAGGAGTGTGAGCCCCAATCCCATACCACTATATCATATCCCCTCATATTCTGTTTAGCGACCCCTTTGTTCCATTATTCTTCTGAAAAGCGTGCTTCTTGCTCTTTGGAACAGTCCAAAATTTTTTAAAAGAATGAAAAGAGGAATACCCCAGCCTCTCCCTTGTCTGCCAAAAGTGATGTAATCTGTCTCACCATTTCTTACAAAGTGCTCCGTCTGCAGTCTCTCCTGTTTATGGAAATAAAATGGGTTTTTAATGAAGGCAGGGATCAAGTCCAATAATGTAATTGCTTGCCAGGTCCTGTGGGGGGAAAACATTTTTAATGACTGATAACAGCAGTATTGCATGTTCAAATGAGGACTGTGTAGTTATCATAGGAATAACTTTCACACGTGAATTTGATCTCATAGGCCTCATGATAATTGCATGCCAGTATTTTCTGATTTGACAGAGTTTGACGTGATGCCTATTTATGGAGTCTCTTTCTGACCGAAACTATACCTAAAGGGTGCCTCCACTCAGAATACTTCTCTTTCCACCTGAGGAATTATCTCTGTGTGAAAGGATTATAACCTTTCTTATGACTGTAGTATCCTTGAAAAATATTTCAGGGAAGAGTTTAGATGATGCCACATTGTAATCTAATTCACCAGGACATCAAAACTACACTCCAGATGGCCATCAGATTCTCTTGTATCTTGGCTGGAGCTAAAAGTTACAAGAAACGCAGGCCTGCTGCTACAAATGGTATCCTGGTGCAGGCTTTCCCCTTCTACAACATGAAGTTCCTTTGTGTCCTTATGGGATCATGCTGTGTGTTTATCTGCATCCACCACTATACAACTTTTATTGCCAGTGATGAGAAAGGAGGAAAGCTCAGCATAATGATATCTGAACTCTAGATGCTTTGTATTTTACAAAGAGTGAAAGGAGAATGCAACACAGGGTTACCATTTTCAGCAGCTGTCCCAAGTTCCTTATAGTTGTAATTCTAGCTTGAATATTAATAACCACATTTGACATACATTTCCCTGATTCTTCATGAGAAAAAATTGGAGAGGAGCTCCCCTCCCCAAAATATTTCCACTTTCTGGAGAAATAATTCTAGACAAGGTTCTCTGGGTCAAATTGTGAGATAATCTGCTTTCTATTTGTCTAAACTAGTAGCATAGAGTAAGAAGTGTAGAAATTGGGGCACAGTAGAAAACTGCATTCAAATCAAAACAATTTAACTTGTCACCACCTGTGTTTGTACTGTTGAAAAAAGAAATGTTGTCCTTGAACTTTTAAAAATTTGGCCGTTTGTATGTTAACAAAAGATAGAAAACCATAGGCAAGAATGGTTATTGGGGTTTTTCTTAAATGTAAATTTAAACCATAATCTCAAATGACAACCTGTTTTCTTAAGGAAGGATGTTTGAGAAAAGT